CTGAACACCGCTTTAACTTAACATTAAACACTAGAGACTGAACACCGCTTTAACTTAACATTAAACACTAGAGACTGAACACCGCTTTAACTTAATATTAAACACTAGAGACTGAACACCGCTTTAACTTAACGTGAAACACTAGAGACTGAACACCGCTTTAACTTAACGTTAAACACTAGAGACTGAACACCGCTTTAACTTAACGTTAAACACTAGAGACTGAACACCGCTTTAACTTAACGTTAAACACTAGAGACTGAACACTGCTTTAACTTAACGTTAAACACTAGAGACTGAACACAGTTACTACACCGAGCTCATGTTCTAGCGCAGAACCGCTGGAGTGTGGAACAGAAGGACAGCAGTGAACACACTCATCCTCCTGAAGCACAGACACGATGAATCAATAACTCAACACTAAACACTCAACAACGAGTTCAACACCACACTAAACACTAAACACTCAACAACGAGTTCAACACCACACTAAACACTAAACACTCAACAACGAGTTCAACACCACATTCAACACCACAGTCAACACTAAACACTCAACAACGAGTTCAACACCACACTAAACACTAAACACTCAACAACGAGTTCAACACCACATTCAACACCACATTCAACACTAAACACTCAACAACGAGTTCAACACCACAGTCAACACTAAACACTCAACAACGAGTTCAACACCACATTCAACACCACATTCAACACTAAACACTCAACACCGAGTTCAACACTAAACACTCAACACATGATGAATCAATAATAATTCCAGCTGAATCAATAAACTCTGAAAGTGTTTATCTGTGTGTGCAGTCGCACTCCAACACTGCGTTCAGTACTCAACACTAAACACTCAACACCACACTCAACACTAACCACTCAACACCAAACACTCAACACCAAACACTCAACACCGCATTCAACACCACATTCAACACTAAACAATCAACACCAAACACTAAACACTCAACACTGCGTTCAACACCACATTCAACACTCAACACCACTCAACACCGTATTCAACACCACATTCAACACCAAACACTCAACACCGTGTTCAACACCACGCTCAACATTAAACACATAACACTGCATTCAAGACTCAACACTAAACACCGCATTCAACACTCAACAACACTGTGTTCAACACTCAATACTAAACACTCAACACCACATTTATATATCAGCCATTCAACAAATATTTATCTTCATAAAATCCTCATTCACTCAATACATCTGAAATTCCATTAAAATACTGATTCCCACTAATGATTTTAAAAAGTGTAGCTATGTGACAGATATAAGCCGATGTTGCGTTCATTTGCTCGTCTTTCTAGATGTTGTGTAACGGTGGTGCAGCGTGCTCACTGCCCCGTTCACCTCCACGGAGTTATTACTATTAACAAGCGCTAAAGAGGACCAGTGGGGCAGGAACCATGCTGCCCCACTCTGCCGCACGCTGCCCCACTCTGCCGCACGCTGCCCCACGCTGCCCCACTCTGTCCCATACTGCCCCACACTGCCCCACGCTGCCCCACTCTGTCCCATACTGCCCCACACTGCCCCAC